TCTGACAACTCTGGATTATGAAAAACAACAGGAGCTGGATTTGAAACTTCAAACGAACAGTCTCATGGTTCTTCAAGACCTGATTGCAGCCTGAATAGCATGATGTGTTTAAGGATACTGAAATTCTTAACAAATGAGGAGTCAAAGCTAATTATCAGTCTATCACGAGCATCACATAGTAAGTGGAAAAGCTTACAATCTAAAAAGGTAGAATCTGCATTTCCAATCTGAAAGTTTGGAAGAAAATCAAATGCTGTGGCTTCTCAAAAAAAAAAGTCACTGTTTCATATGAGTATTATCATCAGGTTCTGAATTCTGTGGCTTTCAGAAGTTTATGTAAAAGGATTGCTAAGCCATATCACCAGCTAAAACTTGAACACATTTGTTACGGGAGTTTCTTTGTACTCACAGATTTACCACAACAGTAGTGGTGTCTTGTAACATTGTAGCACACCACTAGCGAACCGTTTAGGCCTTGTTTGGATGCATGTGTATCCACATGCGCATCCAAACAAGGCCTTAAGCTATGAACATCGTGGATGGAGTAACACTACAGATGAATTTCACAAGTTCTGGATTCCATCAAACTCAGTATGTTCATACAACAGGCAACATCGGTTCTCCATGCACTGACACTTGCAGAAGAATCATGACTGATACGAATTGAGTGATTTCCCATAGAAAATTGACACAGCCAACAGAAGCCCACCACAAACGTCAACCTTCAGGAATACAAAGCCGTAGGGTGGAGCCACCAGAGGATTTATTTTCTTTCCTCAAGTGTTGTTTTTTATTTTAGATCAAGGGTTTGGGAACACTGGTATCAAAAAACTAAGAGTTAGCAGAGAGATCAGTTGCAAAGAGATAGTGAAAAATAACAAAAATGAACTTAGTGCCAGTATTCACCTACCATTTTTGAAGCAGTGAGGCTCAGTTCTCACTGGGACCAAATTGTTTCTGTATATCACTGAATGATATGGCCGCAGAACCCCTTCTCTTAGCCTTTTGCTGTGATGGATGCTCCCTCCAGCCAGTCATGTAAATTACCTGCGCAAACAAGAAAATATTTGGCAATCAGTAGCCCAGTTTGTGTATCACTTACAGGGATTAATTATCTCTAGCCCAGAAAACAAAAGGATTTTGCTGAATCAGTTCAGGTTCAAATAAAGGTCAAATGTGCTGTGCTCTACTCTAATGAGGCAGGTACATAACTTGAAAGGTTGCTGGAATAGATCCGTCTTCTAACCCAAACATTGACTGGTAAATTGCTGCAGTTGCCAAGGCTGTATCCCTTTTCAACACCTGATAACACAAAATCAGTCCAAGTTCAATTATTAGGATAATTAAAACAATTAGATTTAGACATTTTTCGATAGACGAGTATGATATGTAAGATACTCACAGGATTTCTTTGAAAGAGAGCATTTGTTTCCCCCATTGCTCTAAGATGTTCAACAAGTTCAAAAGCTAGTTGACCAAAGTAGCAAAAACATCAGCATGGATAGGTAACCCGTAAATCTCCATAATCAAAGTCAGCATATTTCTTTGATACTGAGTGAACTCTTATAGCATATATTATTTCTAAACTGAATAGATGTACAGCAATCACACAACAGCCAAGCATAAAAGTTGAAATACATGTCTATTCTACCATCATGCAATATTGTAAGGAAAAGAGAAGCTGGACAATACACATCACTATAAGAAATTTAGGTTTTATTTTCTACAAACCATTATTGTATTTAACGGTATACTGATCAACATCAACTCCTGGAAGAGTGAAACCTGCCCTTGTCAAAAGGTTTCCTGCCACGGACCTTGAAAATGCAATAAAAAAACACAGTTACAACAAATGGACACATAACAGGACAAGATAGAATAGTTGTATGCATGTAAGATTCATTCTGACTGTTGTAAAAGTCTGCAGTCTACTGAAGTAGTGACTTTACCATGAAGTGGTATAAAAAATATGTAAAGGAGTACAAACAAATATCCTAGAGCAAAATTCAGAACATAAAGTAGCCATACCTGCGCTAAAGGGGACATTCGAGGACTGATGCCCCCTTCACGTTCCATTTGAGCAACTGTGCATGCAATTCTAAGCTCCCTGATAATAGAAATCGAGGCAAGACAAGTCAGATAAGGAAGTAAAAAAATGACAACAAATGGAAAATCAAAGTTTTATCTACAATTTGACAGGTTATCACTTCAGTGTTTCTCCACCAAGAATTGCTGCCAGAAAAAGGCCATCAGGTTGCAATGCCAGCCTACACTGCAAGGAAAAGGTAACAGTTAACCAGACATCAATAGTCAAGGTATTCCTTTTGTAAATAACTGACCATTATAGGAACATAGTAATATAAACTGGTTCAGGTCAAGAAATTTACCTGTATCATTGCTCCAGGTAGATCATTTGTCCAATGAAGTCCAAGACAGCTTATTATCAAATCCTGTGAACTTCAGAACCCATGAACCACACTAATGAGTAAATGTTGCAAGACCTGCCTGTGTTTATAATTATGCTTTTGACACTACAACAGACTGACTTAGGCACAAGAATAAAAAATCACACAAGCATGAAGCAATTACATTTTTTCTCCTCATGCATCATGTATGCTTTGATCTATAAGCAAGGTGGGAGGAGAGAAGCTGAAAGCTGAGCCGCTGAAGGAAAGAATACTTTTCCTTTTTTTCGCATGAGAATTGGAAAGATAAACATCTGGCAGTTGATTGGCAGACCCCATGGGAGGTACATTGCAATCTCGGCAAAGTAGTTGTGGGTTTTGTACATTTTACTCTCAATATCATGAATACAGTACATGAAATTGAAACCACCGAGAAAGTGAAGTCACCTCTCTTTGATTGGAAGGAACTCCTCATCGCCGACAACAAAGTGCGTCTCAGGTTCGTCACCACTGGAATTCTCTGACTCTCGCCACTTCTTCACCATGTCGGCTGACATGTCCATCATGATCAGCCTCTCAATTCCACCTGCGACGAAGGCATTCAGTTCATTTCCGTGCAAAATTGGTGGAACCTTGATGGCGGCATGGCGTGATCTGGTGACGAGTACAAAATAAAGAAGCGCACAAGAAGACTCGGAGCAGGATGCAAGGTGGCTCACCGCGGCCGCGGAGCAAGCGGCGGACGGCACCGGCGGAGCCCCCGAGGCAGAGCGCGGAGGGGAAGGCTTTCCTGCAGTCCTCGAGGCGGTCGAGGAGGTTTTCGGCGACGGCATCCACGAGCCCGTCGGTCTCACGCATCGCCCACGCCGCGCGGTCCCGGTGCCGGCGCTTCAGGTCGCGGTCGAAGATCTTGACGCGGCCGCCGCCACCGCCGTCGTCGAGGCCGTCGGCAGCGGAAGAGGAAGAGAAGTGGCGTTTGGGGAGAAGATGGCCATGGCGGTGGCGGAGGAGGAGAAGGCGGCGAGCGGCGGCGGCCGAGGAAGCCATCGGGACTCGGGAGCACCGGCGTTGGAGGAGATGGTGCCACGATTGCTGGGAGCCTTTTGGGCCTCGTTATTGGACTTTTCTCGAGCACAAAGTCTTAACTGGGCTACTTTGTTTGTTTTTACTTCCACTAAAAAAAAACTTTGTTTGTTTTTACTTTTTTTTTCTTGTTTCTATTTTTTTTCAAAAAATGAGCGCAACATCTACTCCCCGTTCCAAATTGTAGGTCTTTGTAATTTTTTAGATGCATAGTATTTACTAGGTATCCAAATATAATATAGATCTAGGCACATAGCAAAACTCAGGTACCTATGGCTTACAGTTTGGAATGGAGGGAGTAGTATTTAGTTAACTACCGATGAACTAAGGCAAAGGCAAGTGTGTGCTTGCTACTGCAAAAATGTTATCATCACCGGTTCATAACTGTCCAGCACCGCCGGCTTTGTCCCTCGGCAGTGATATATCATTGTCGAGGATGACCATGGTTATCACTACCGGTTTAAACTAGCAGTGATAATCATTTCCCAAAAAATATAAGATCACTGTAAAAAAAGAAAAAAAATCGAGGAAAGATCCTACCATGCACTCTCAAGGTTGTAAAGTCACAAGTCGTGTGATTTTTCGTGTGACTCGCCGTGTGGGGGACGAGGAGACTCTTCTTTGGTGGAGAAGCTCCGTAGTAGACAACACATTGGTGACTAGGAGAGTCAAGTGACAAGTGGTGAGCCTTAGTGGCTTACGACACTCATCTTGTTAGTGGTGGCTTTTGTTGCTTACCCAACACCATGAGCGAGATAAGGCGTGGTGACCTGGATCATATCCTTTATGGAGCACCAACGCGGACTAAGGGGGTGTTTTGATAACTGATATCACAAGACAAATCTTTGTCTCCAGGAGTTTGTCCTCTTTTGACTTGCTCTTTACCTTACACATTTAAGCTACTGCATTGTGCATGTTTTGTGCAACCTTCATTTTTCCTATAGATTGACATAAGCTACTTGGCAGGATTACCTCTAGGTTATTACAAAACTCTTTATAGATTGGTTAAGATAGAGCACACTAGGCAAATCTAAGGTGCACATTATGCTAGTTCATTATGTTGTTTCTAGTGGAGATCAGCTGAACTTAGGTGTTAGTTATTAAGTGACCCAATTTACCTCCTCCTGGGCTCATGTGCCCCTTCAGGAGTAGGCGAGGAGAAGAAGAATAGTATCTACACTTAAGCTATTTATTTGTGAAACAAGGATTATAAAAATCTAGATTGTAAAATCTCAATCACAAAAACCTATATTTTGTTTGGCAAGATTGACCGTGAGAGGATGGATCTCATTTTCCATTAAATGAAAAACACATGAATCTTTGTAACACTCTTGCTAAAACGTGGGGCCAGCATGGGCATGAATAGTATTTGCCAAAATCCCGATGGGTATTTTGGTTTTTGACAGTCCAAATTTTGATGCAAACTGGTGGGAGGTGGGGATTGCTATATTGTTGCAATATAGTGACCAAATTGTAAATAATTGCTTACAAAACATGTCCTTTTGTTGTAGCTTTGGATTGTAAAATAAAGTCAGAATTACAAAGTTGAACCAAAACAAGACTTAGATCATAGAAATTAGCGTTAGTCCAATAGCTATAAAGTTGGAATGACGTGATTCGTTTTGGATTCAGATTTATTATGTTATTAAATCATTGCTAGTGGCCTAGTACATCTATACAGAATATAGGATTTCTTATACATGTTAAAGTCCGGTGAATTAGATCTTACATGTCAAAGTGTGTACTGGGTTAATGATTAGTTGTCGGGAAATCAAACTATTTAATCCTATTCCTCAATTTGCATTATAAAATTTGCAATCCCATATTTTGAATTGATGTGTCAGTGACATGGTCCATGTGTCATTAATAGTGGCAAATAAGAGATGCTGTAAAATTGCAATGGCAAGAAAAGAAATTTATCCTACTTTTGAAATGCATACCTGGTCGGTAAAGTATACAGTACCCAGTCAGTAAACTGTGATCTCCAGGGTAGTTCATGAGACAAAATCTTGAAAGTTTACCCTCTCCTAGGACATCAAAGTCAGCAACTGAACTCTTCTGATGGTGTGTAGAGCCTGAACCTGAAGTCATGGTGGGGCTTGGGTCCGGCCTACCTTTGATATGTAACCAGAAACCTGAATTTCTTATAGCGAACTGTGCAAGGTGAACATCATTCATCTTTAGTCAAACTTAGTCGGTAACACTTTATTTCATAAGGATCGATTGTCCATTTGTCCTAGTACCACCAGATTCAGCCACTCAGTCCAGATGATGGTGACATGTCCTTAGTAATCACACAATCAAATCTTTACATAATCAATGAAAACCCTTCCCGCAATAAAAAAAGAAGAAGATAAAAACCCAACCAGGCATAATAATCTTCTCTTCAACAAAAGGAATGATGAACGAACTGGGTAGGAACACCCAAAAACATCAAAACTCAGTATGTACAGTCGATACTATTAGCCCCCTGCCCTGTTTTTTTTTCCCAGCCATGATCTCCAATAAAGTGTTTCTCTGAATTGACATCTTAAACATGGCACTTGGATAAGCAGTGTCCCAATCCAACACAACTCGCAGCCACTCACTTCAGATGGTAACATATCCACAGCAATCACACAGATTCTGGAATAAAATATAATTCTGGCTTTAAGGGCTCGTTCGGTTATCCTGAAATGAGGCCAGAAAACATTCCGGCTGATCAATTGTTATGTAAATTAGCCAATTATTTTGGCTGGGAATCGTTCTAGAGAATGAATCCCAGGGAACCTAACGAGCCCTAAGTGTATCTTAGGTGAAACCTGCACTTTCTTACTCTCTAAACATAAACTGCAGAGAGATCCGTACGGTGAAGCTTTTAAATTTTGCATTTGCATTTACCTTGGGCCATGTCCCGTAGAATATTTGTTACTTTTACTAGTATTTCATAAAACCTTTTTTTATATATATAAAAGGAAATGCTAGAATTTGCTATCGGAGTGGTTAGTGGTAGGTGCAGGCCCTGTTCGGCTTACCCCATATTCAGCTTGTTCGACTTTTTTTTTCAGCTGGAACAGTGTTTTTCTCTCACAACAATTCAGTCGGAACAGTGTTTTCAGCCAAGTTTCAGACCAGTGAACGGGGCGCAGTTGTAAATCACTTGCTACCTGCCTCTGCAAAAGGGCTAATAATCCACTGACACTCGGTACTACCACATAAGGATTATTTCGTCAATGAACTAGTAGGTAGAACTTCCCATGTGATTTCTTCCTCTCTGCCTGGCCATCGTGCCATGGAAATCAAGTCCCTGCCGTGCTCTTGCCCAACCGAGCTTGTCACTTTTTCAGCAACAGCCAACAGGTGATGGATGCACTGCAGCAACATTCCAAAGACATCAAATCCAAGTCACACTCACCAGTTGGCCAATGAGGCAAAGACAACACATCCAAGTACTCCTAGGATACCAGCAGTAATTGAACTTTCATCCATCAGTTGGTAGTACCTGGAATCCTGCCTCTTCACGGGCGCCAATCCATATTCAGCTTTCCAACCTCAATATTTCATCCCAGTATCTGCACGTTCACATAATTCATCTTTGCATGTGTCGGTGTAAAAATGTGTCGATACGTCGAGCACATAGCAAGTCGGAAGGATCTGTTTGACGGAGTAAGGCCAGAGATCTGTTTGGCTTCAACGCAGGGCTAACCGATCCTGCGAATTCCTCCCGAGACGTGTCAGTCAATTTGACCTACAATTGACAAGGAGAGAAAGATTATCAGTAATTTAAGGTGGAACATGCCGGTCTTCGCCTAGACAGTTCCAAGTGTGCCGCTTCGGGAGCAGTCAGATAGGAAAAATCGACTAAACGGCCGATATGCGAAGAAATCGGCTGTTTACGGACTGTAAAGCTCGTGGATCGTGATTGATTTTTTGTTGATAAGTACAATGCCCACAGATATAAGTAAAATCATCAGCTAGGTAAGTATTACTAGTGTAAAGTATTGAACCGATGAATCTAACGAGAAATGATATAACACGCGAACAAATCGACTGTCTAGTACGATGAATCTAATATGTTACCATCAATAGTGAGGTTCGACCGAATCGATGGCAGCTATGATGATAATAACAGACCAAAACTGAAGAATCCGTAAAACCATCTATACATTGACAGGCTTTCCGAAAGACATGCTATATGTGTGAAAGCTCAAGCGGACCGGCTGAAATAGCCGATTCAAGTGAAAACATGACTACAACATGTGAACAATCGACTATTTAACATGGATAAACCTATGAACTCATCAGACTTAACCTACTATCTCTAACAGTGGGGTTCAACCGGATCGATGACAGCCGTGATAAAGGCAGCAAATCAAACCTTTAAAGTAAATAGATCTATTCACATTTAACAGAATCATGAAGACACACTGTAGGCGTTAAAGCATAGGCGATCGGCTATTTAGCCGATGCAGGCATAACAAACAGTTAAGGTCATGCCTGATCGAGAACAAATCTACCAACTAGCATCCTCCGATCTAGAGTGCCATCAGTGGGGATCGACCGGATCGTTGCAGCCATAATAGTGAACTATAGACCAGATTTAACTAGCCAGTAAACCTCCTCAAGATCATACATGCCTTAACCGCATACTATGCACGATCAAGATTAAAATAGAACAGCTAATGAAACATAACCCGTCGCTCAACGTAAGAAACATCGTATCGTAACAAAGCAAACGACGGGCTAAAAGGATATGAGGCCGATCTAGATTGATCTCGACTGGGCAGATTGATGTTGCTGAAAACTAATAACAATAAGAAACATCAGTAAAATCGGTAACTTAATGAATCTACCCGGAGGACGCCACCCTTAGGTAGAGCCGATAACTTGACCTTAATCTAATTCGAGCAGTGAAGGTCGAACTTAACCGATGCAGCCGTACTTGAACTAGATAAGAGTCGATAACTAGTTTATACTAAAGTTCA